TCACTTTTACGGACAAATATCTTGCAGTCGTTAAGCTATATGTATTTTTAACCCAGCTCCTTGCCTAATTTTCTTTCTGAGCCATGCAGCATTTTGTTAGCAGGTGTTAAATGTTCGTTGATAAATATAGGCTTTGCAGAACCATCCAAGTCGATATCCGCCGTCGTCAAACCACGGCGTGCTCGAACAACAGCCAGAAATTTAGTTTTTCCACGCTGTTAGGTAAACTTAACTATTATTGGGTAAACTTTACTATTATATTGGGCATAGGAGAAATATGACCCCCTTATATGTCACTTTGAATGCCTGGTTTATCAATTTGACCAGCTGAATTATCAATTTGACCGGGGCTCACGAATCTTGAACGAAATATTGAAGAATTAAACTATTTTATATGTTGTATTTTATAGACCAGAATAAGAAACAAAGAATAAATAATTACGCAAAAATTTGCTTTTTTCTTTCTATAAAACACTAAATGATGAAACTGAAAAGGTCAGTTTTTTCTGACTTCCATATAAAACACAGCCTAAGTAAATATCATGGCACCGAGAAAAAATACAGTATTCTAGTGATTCGATGAAAAGTGCATCCAACAAATGTTAAAAGGAATTTTAAAGCATCTCCAAAAATCTTTTTCACTAACAAAAGCTTTTAAATTCACACACCTGTTATATCACAGATGGGGTTTTGTGGTCTAATATAAAATAATTTCACAAAATTCAAATCACTAAAAATAAAGAAATAATAATTCCCTAATTATCTTTTCCTTAACTTAAAAGTACGTTTAAAGATGACGTTAAACAACATTTGGAGTTGATGCTATGCCTGTCAAATAGATTTGTGTTACCGTTTACTGTTATAAATTTCACTATATAACCAAACCAAATATGTGTAATATAATTTTTGATGAATTCTATCTTTATCTCTGAAAGAACTTACTACTTATCATATTTCCACATAATTTGGAAAGAAAACTTTTAATAAAACACTACGAAATCTATTCATGACTGGTGAAATAATCGTGTTACAAACATACATCTAAATTTAGTTTAATAAAGAATCTTCTCATTTCCTTTTTGAAGTCGATTTAGAAGCGTTACGTGGTATCAGAATATAACAACTTTAAATGAAACAACATAACACGGAGTTCTAAGTAGCTTTTTGCATATATTCATGGTTTTATTTTTATGAAAGACATTGGTATATTTTCCTTAATTTTGTTTCCGGAAAAAATTGACATTTACTTTTATTTATACATTCTCTTTGTAAAGCTAACTTATTCTTTATATTCACACGACTTTTCCTTAATATTTATGCTTTGGAGGCAAAGTGTCAATCGATGAAGCAATCTAACACGAGTATCTAAGTTGCTCGAGGGAATGAAAAAAGTTCCACAACTTAACTCTTTTACTTTTATTAAAAAACTACTTACTTAGGTACTATACAGTTTCCTGTAAAGATCGATGCAAGCACGAGCTTTAACCGGATAGTTGTAAAAATAGATTGAGTTTTGGTCACTTCGACAACTTTCAGAGGTAGGTTAACTTGAAGAAAGTGGGTTGACTAAACTCACGAAGGATGGATTTTTTTGAATTTTCAGCTCGATATTGCGAAGCCCTCGAGAGATGGTACTCCTTAACCTTAACTGCCACTGGCACGACGTTTTGGAGCCAACGGAGGCTTGTCAAATAATATTCTATGACAGGTGTACATTTTATTCTGAATGTGGTCTGGGAATAAAACTAAGTTTAAGGTAGTGTAACGGAGTAGCATAGCCGCAACCTTTCTCCTTGTTTATTTCCAATATATTAGACCTTCTTGACCTTAATTTTAAAATGTTCGTTAATGGTTTTCGTTTAATTTGAATTCATTTCCATCAAAAAACCACCAAAATTTTGTGACACCTATTATAAATTATTTGATTTCGGCACTATTATTTTTTTTCTGTAAAATAATAAGTTTTCCAGACAGTAAGTTTTTATTTCTACCTTTAATAAACCGTTTAAGTCTATTATTGGTAAGTTATTAATTCTAATGAACCCCTTAGGCTTGTTGAAAATATATCGATGTATCGATATATCGATATTTTTTGAGGTCCTGCAATCATTTTCATCATTCGAAAATAGGGTCTATTTTAGGTAGATAATTTTCGTTCCATTATTATTCCACGTGTCATCTTTCGTGAGATACTGTACTGTCATGTAGTGTAACGGCAATTTGGTACTTTGATAATTCTTTCTTTAATTATAATTTGTATTGTTATTATTACTGCGCTAGGCGGATCTAAATATATTTTTGGGAAAATTGGTCCGATATATCGATATATCGATGTTTTTTTCGCGATATATCGAAGCCGATATTGATATTTTTTAAAATATCGATGTATCGATATATCGATATTTTTTTCTACTTTCGACATCCCTAGAACCTCTAATAGCGACGGCTATCGTCGTACCTGGCGTTGGCGTTTGGATATTGGAAATTAAACGTTTTGGGTAAATCATTTGGACGAAAACAATATTTTTCAAGATAATCGAAATTACATACCTACAAAATTGTAACTCCTATGACACATTTTTTATATGCCTACTAATTATTATATAATAACATTCCTTCTATAATTAAAATCTATATTAACATGGATGTATCCAAAAATATTTGTTGGTTCATCGGTCAAATACTTTGGGGCTGGTTTAAATCGTGTTGTGACCACGATGCAATTGCGATTGTTGATTGGAGCGAGCTATCGCTACGTCACATAAAAGGGCACTGTCCATTTTCTTTTACTTACATTACGTTGAGTTGATGGTATGATCTATGCAGTAAGAAGCAAACAAATGGTTTGTTTTCAAGATTGTTTAACCAAACGTAAAATGTAATCGAATAGAGAATGTCTGGTGCCGCACATATTGATGTCGCATCAGCCGCAGATGGACCAAACTTACACTAATGCAAGGATTTTGTAGATTACTGTCTTGTAGGTATGGAAAATAACATATTTCTCGTGAACCTAAATTTTAAAAATAAATACCTGATATTTAGCAGGAAACAGTTCTAGACAGTGAACTCGAAACTTTTTGCCCGGGCGGATGCAGCATTGTCATGGTACGACTATGGAAGTAATTTTTAAACCACTGTACGAGTATACAATATACTGAACTTTTCCCAAAAAATACAGCATGCGTTTCTACAAAAGTGGTGTGAATAGGTTTCTTTAAACTCAACGACGTGTGATACACTAGGGTTTGGTGTCTTAAGGCCAAGGTGACCTCATACCATCAGGCGGAGAATATGCACGGTTGTCATTCTTTTTAATATAATAATGAATTGGGAAATAATATTACTGCTTAATAGAGGACAATGTTTAGCGAGACAATTGGTTATTAGGGAGAGCGAGAGACGTCTTACACAGATGCTTCCCCTAATTAACTTCCCGTCGCAGCAACTATTTGATGTGCAGATTATCAGATGTACTCACACTACGTGAAATTCCGTCTGAAGCAGAAGGTAACTTTCTTTTGCACAGTTCACTCCCGTGTTAATTAATTATATATTCCACGCGCGGATGTTTCCGACATGATTTTGCACCTAACTAAACAATAGTTGGAGTTACGATGGGATCTAATAAACAAGTCGACAGCTGATAGTTAAACGATTTAGGCGAATGTGCCTTTCAACTTCATCGACGACATCGTTTAATAACTATAGCTATATATATATATAGTCTACTGCCTGGTCCGCGTGAAATTTTTTCTAGTCATATTTTCTTAAGATTTTAACATCAAGCAGTTACATGCTTAAAAAATAAAACTTACAACTATAGCTATCTTTAATATAAGTACAAATTCCAACGCGTATAAAGAAATTTGGTGACTCATTTCTTTGTAGCACTATCCGTAAATGGATGTCTTTTAAAAGAGGCGTGAAGAAGCAACATGCAAGCCGGCAAGGTGAGGAAGGCTTGTGTAGTAGGATGAATTGCTGTACCAGCTATCTTCACGTCTTGACTTCACCGTCACTTAACATCAGGTGGGGTCGAGTAATTTGTCGGTCCTATCTATTAAAAACCTATCTCTAAAAAAAAGTCACAGATCCGCGGGATTGGGGATAGAGTCGGAGTAGGCTACGCGCGACAGAAATGTGGTATCGCAAGCATCTAAATATATATGTATATACTATTTGACTGCTGTGTCAAAGTTAAAACTACTGAATCACTATTACCTAACCTAACCTACCTACCTAAACTTTTCAGAATAATTGTCACCCACGTCATATCTTTGTTACCCCTCGATTTTACTAAGAAACAAGTCATATAATAGTTTTACACAAAACTTGTAGAATAATTGTTGTGGCTTTTTAAAACCTTATTTCGTTTACACTGCATAGACAACTAGTATCTTACAAGTATAAATCACTTATTTACTTCACATATCCAACAAGTTTGATACAGTATACACTACATGTTATATACACACATGTATATAAGTGTGAACAAAAAATTAAGACATTATATAAAATTTGTTAAACACATGTATGGTGTCAACGCGGGGAAAAGAAGTTATCACACTCTTTATTATATTTTTTAAATCACACAGTTTTTATGATTACCGTGTAAAATTAAATATAAAAAAAATGTATACGAAATCGACCAAGTGGCTAGTTAAATCTCAAGTAGGTTTAGCACCAAATCCTTTTGTCAGAACTGCAAACAAAATGAGGTACCCATGGTCCTGCGTAGACAACGAAGACACCTTACAGAAAACCACAGTGGAATAATACTCTACATCATTAATGGTGTTGGTTTTTAGTCGGTGACTAAAGTAGCCAAGCATATTTCGGTCGGCGACTAAGGTACCCAAGTCTTTAGATTGTATGGGATGGAGATGTGGGATCGCAAGTGTCCATACTCTATAGAGTATGGTATGGTAGCCTATAGGCTATGGTAGTCGCTTACTCTCAGCCGGACCATTCGCTTGTTTGACACTCTTTTTACTTACCGCCACGAGGCCACCGTTTTCACACGGCACGTCGACGTAGTTGAAGGTGACCTGGATCCTCTTATCCGGGTCGGCTATCATGTATATGCCGCACACTGACGGCTCGTCAGAAGCTGACTTGAAGAACAACTCCCCTTCCTCAGAAGTCACCAGAAAACAATCTGTCAGCAAAATAAAACACGGTATTATTAACCCATACTAATATTGGATATTATAAGGAGCTCGATGGCGCAGTGCGTTAGCATGATCGGTCTGTGGTCAAGGAAGTGAAGCAGCTTTCACAATGGCTGATCTTAAAATGGGTAGCCATATTGTTATGCCACGAACTCCCCCGTGCTTCGGAAGGCATGTTAAGCCGGTGGTCCCGATCGCACCTGCAGTCGTCAGCACTAACCAATCCATATTGGGCTCGCGTGGTAGTTGGAAAAATATCCTTACCTCATCGAAAGGGAATACCTGAGCACCAGCAGTTGAGACATTAAAAGCGTGATAGAAAATTTAAGTAGTGAAAGGAGATTATACGGCGACTTCGAATAAAAGATGAAAAGCCTAAATACTATATATTAAATAGGTACATGTTTAATTTATAATTACCTATCTATTAACGTACCAAGAAAAATAAGTGTATTATACATTAGTAGGCACTTGGATTATCCGTCACAGGATCATTAAGCAAAAAGACGCGACAGCATGGCATGGAATATCTATTTAAAGATGTCTTATTATTCATGACCCTTATTTTAATATCATATTTTACCAATTACATGTTTTGGCTGCTTTGTAGGTAGATATAAATGTGTCTATATTTATTATTTTAGTTTGAGAACGAATATTGTGTGAACGAGTTTTATTTACGGGTTTTAATAAGCAAAGCATCATTTAGAAGATTTTTTAATAATATAGCCTATGTAAATAGGTACGATCAGATAATCAGCCCTGCAACCCACTTATAAATAAACGAAGAATGAGTTTGGATTAGTTACTCCATGTTTTATCTCTGTTCATTGAATGACAAATGGCGTTTGAGTGACATGAAAAAAACACGGCGTAACTATTTATTTTATTATACAAATACAATCATACACATACATATTTCAAAAACCATAAACCTGTTTAGGTTTATGTGTGTATGGGAGCCACTCATTGACCACTTTATACACTTTCAAGTTGACTATTTTGTAAGTAATATCTTTTAAATTTATATTTGTTGATTACAATGTTCGCGTACCCTGTAGATTACTAGGCAATTCATTGAGATAGAAAGGTATTAAATAACATAGCTTCCTATTTCCGTGGACATTATTACATTTCGGCAGCAAAAACTTTCTACGATCCAACACAATTCTCAGATTATCTGGTCTCTTATTAATATTCAAGTACTTATTCTCGTTACATTCGGTTAGAATTGCGTATTTTACCTTGTCATAAACATTAATCACATTACAATATCGAAATAATTATTGTGCGTTACCTTTATATTTAACTTTTATATATTTAAGTAGCTAGCTAGGTAGTCTAAGCTTATTTCTCATTTATTAATAAGGGACCAAATGTCTAAAACTGTAATATCCCTTGATACCCTATCCATTAATTTCAGTAGTCACTGTGTTAAACTTTTATTATCTGTGCAGGTTTGTTCGCAACTGGATGCTTTCGTTTATCTCTAGCATGTGTATGAAAGTCATTAATAATGTATGCTCTAGATATTGTGAATTAATTTCTCCACGTGTTCGTAGAACGGAAATTGCAATACATTTAGATGAAAGTCACATCTATTTAAGGGGAAATGAGATTTATGGGTAACGTCAGAGGTTCTTTAAAGACACCACAGATATGATTATTTTGTACAGAATGCTTTCTTATAAGTATTTATTACAGTTCTTTATGCTCATAGTCATCGTCATCATCAGCCTATTAATGTCCCCACTGCTGTGGCACAGGCCTTCCCTATGGATGGAATAGGGAGATTTGGCCATGACCCACCACGCTGGCGCAGTCCGGATTGGCGGGTGATAAGGACTGCAGATGCAGCCGGGACCAACGGCTTAACGTGCCTTCCGAAGCACGGAGGAACTCAAGATAGAAGATTTTTGGTGACCCATCCAATAACCGGCCACTGCGAAAGTTGCTTAACTTCAACAATCGCAGCCGAACGCGCTTACCACACGCGCCACCGAGCTCCTCTCATAGTCATAGTACTGGCAAATTCATTAGCTGGTTCAGCTGACTGATCTGGCTGATTCTTGTTAAAGTCTACAAGAGACCTTTACGAACCTGTTAATAAAGTTCTTTACAAATATTAGTTATTGTCTTGTATTCCCATTAGATTTAATCATTTCTATTAACCGAACTAATAGGAAATTTACATGTCACTATTTTGTGATTAATACATATTTTCAATACAAATTAAGTTATAGTTATGTGTTCTTTTTTTTCATTGACCTGTTATAATTTTCTTTTAATATTTATTCAGTCAAATACAGGGTTGTTCAACAAGAACTTTGTTTTTCAATTGTGGCTAAACCAACAATATGATAGATTTGCCATTTATTTTTTTATGAATTCTATTTCGCTTGAAAATCGAATTAAAATAATTAAAATCCACTATGAAAATAGTGGTTCTGTTACAGTTACATTTTGTTAAATTCGTGATATTTTCGGACAACATCATCGTCCTTCTGAGACCGCTATTAAGAATTTGGTCGTTAAATTTGAGTCGATACAAAATGTGCCAACACCAACGCGTGTTTGACCGGGTCGTTCAATTGAAAGCATCGCAGTCGTGAGCCACAGTGTTGAAGCAGATTCAAATTTGTCAATTCCGCGACGTTCTCAACAATTGGGGTTATCCAAAACCACCACATGGCGAATTTTATTGATGACGTGGATATCACTGATATGTGGTTTCAACAGGACGGTGCCACATATGTCACACAGCCAATGAAACGATCAATTTATTGCAAACCAAATTACCCTATCGCATAATTTAACTAAACTCAGCTGTTAAGTGGCCAGCCAGATCGTGTGATTTAACACCACTAGATTATTTTTTGTGGGGTTATGTTAAGGACAGAGCCTAAACAGGGCCAATAGAATCGATTGCAGCCTTAAAACTCAAAATCCGTGATGTGAATAACGAAATAGTCCAGCCATTTTGCCAAACAGTGATTAAAAACTTTAATGAAAGAATCGACATCTGTCAGCGTGCTCGTGGTGGACATTTGCCAGATATCATTTTTCATTCATAATTGCCAAACTTTTCTCTTTGTTATTCAAAAAAAATTTAATCATCATCATCTAAATTTTTTGTTTTAGAAAACAAAGTTCTTGTTGAAAACCCCTATAATACATAAATAAAGCCTTGCGAATGTATTTAGTAGAAACTACAAATAAGTTAGTGTAGTAGTATTGTCTGGTTTTTACCGGGTATGGCCCTGCTATTTTTTGAGCCTCTGGGGCTGGAGGAAATGACAGAGAGACCGGAGGAGCCCACGGAGCCTGTGCGTGCACTTTTCCGTTAAGTAATGGTTACACCATGTTTTTTCCAGACACAAATAAAAAAGGTTAACCCAAAGTTTAGGCCAAAGTAGGATTGATAAAATTAAGTTTAGATCTAGTAACAACTTTTGTACTTCACATCGCCATTGTGTATCATAGTAGAAAATATTCATATGCAAGTAAAGAGGGAATAAATTAACGTATAACAAGATGGGGTCTGTTAGCTCGCAAACTACAGTCCGTAAGCTTATTAAGTATGAATGGCGAAGTATGAAAAGGATTTTTCCACATGTAGTGTATGAATATTCACGTCAAGTGAGAATATTTTTCGCACGAAATACCGATGTATATTTAAGTGTGCGCCTGACAAATCAAATGAGTTATATGGGAAATTCTAGATGTATGAGAAGGATAATAATTATGATATAGATAACGCTTTCACAGGTATGGGTTCTAATCTATATGACTCATTGTGAAAAGACAATGTTTATTTTAGTAGAATTTGTATTTATTATTTTTTTATAATATTAACTATTTAACTACTAACCCCCTTATTGATAAACGAGGACTACGCTTGGATTGGTTACTCCATGTTTTGTCTCTGTCTATTGAATGACAAATAGCATTTGAGTGACATTCGAACAAAACACGGCGTAACTATTCTAAGCTTATTCCTTGTTTATTAATAAAGCCGCAAATGTTTACACGCGCGCTGGCCTACGTTGTCACCGTCTTACTGTGGCCACAATTCCAACGCGTACAAAGAAATTTGGTGACTCATTTCTTTGTCGCACTATCCGTAAATGGAATGCTCTGCCCGCTCACGTGTTCCCTCCCTCTTACAACCTGGGATCCTTTAAAAGAGGCGTGAAGAAGCAACATGCAGGCCGGCAGGGTGAGGATGGCTGGTGTGGCAGGTAGAACTGCTGTATCAGCTATCTTCGCGTCTGGACTTCACCTTCACTTAACATCAGGTGGGGTGGAGTCATTTGTCGGACCTAACAATAAAAAAAAAAAAAAAATGTTTATTAGATTTAAACATTTGAATAAAATGTTAAATATTGTTTTTTTTTCTGGTAAAAAAATTCTTTAGAGATAGATGAACATCTAGCAGTTAAATGCTTCGAATAAAAATATAATAATCTACAATTGCTATTTCTTCTTTCAAATACATATTACTATTAAGTTTGATGTTGTGGGTTACCTACAATGCAAAAATATGGCGCTGCCAATAACATTATTCTGACTAATTATATCTAACTAGGTCAATTAAGCTTCGCACTTATGTACACAATCTACGGTATGGTTTGTAGGAATATTGATCAGTGATTTGCAATTCCAATAACTTCTTTGATATTGTTAGATAATTATTATCCCTTATTATTATATCCCTAATATATTCGGCCGTCTACGAAACAGTAGTTACGATAAACGTAACTAGTTTCAATGGAGGAATTAGTTTCTTTGTACGAAACAGCGGTTACGTATTAAGATTTTTTGCAATATCATAAAAGTTTACTAGTAACGTGCAAGAAATAATAATTACGTCATCGAAACTTGCGATGTAAATCAAATTAAAATATGTGATAAAATGTATAAAAGTGACACTAATAAGCCAAAAAATGTACATATGTATGTATTTTTTAATGGTAGATTATAAAATGGACTAAGCTATGTTAAATATATTTCTTATGGGCAAAAAGCTGATTGTAGATCTAAAGTCAAATTATGTTCTGAATTTGATCTGGGTAATCCGTTGGGCCCTATCTATTATGAAAAAAGGTCTTTGAGATGTAAAATAAGGTTTTTCGGTTACCGAAACGGATCAGGCTAACAGATTACCCATATCAAATTGGAACTGATTTTATAACAATGGCTGAGTCTGTACTCTGGCTAGAAAACTGTTTTCAGCTCCTCAACAATAAGGTAATCATTATAAATCATATCAGCCGTACGATGCCCACTGCTGCGAAGACTCCCCCAAGGATCTCCACATTAATTGGTCCTGCGCTATTTCTGATATTGTTATATTGCATTATATTATTAATTATTAGTTAATTTGTGCGCGGTCGCAATTCGAGAAATATCTGCCCCAACGGCAGTCGGATCTCCTCGCTGCGTGTCCCGCTCTCTGCTACTCCACATATTATTATAATTTCTTGTATTGATTGAAGTAGTTGGAAAACAATTTGATCAGGGTAACACAAGCAGGAGGAGGAGGAGGTATTCCTGGGCGCAAGGGTTTTTGGTACGAGAATATTCGGCTGAAATAAAACAGTTTTAACGGGTTATATGCACTGATTTTATTTATTTATTAAGGTTTCACATCCTTTGCAGGAATGCGTCGTCAGAATAATGATTTTTGCTTTTTTTTCAACTGCATATAACCCGTTAAAAACTGTTTTATTTAATGAGTAATGTGCGTGAAAACCTAAAAAACAAATTGAATATTTGGCTTTTTATGTAACTTATGTAAGAGCAGATTTCCCACTCGAATTAATGCACCTGTCAGGGGAAGTAGCCTCTACCTTAAAAAAGACCACATAGGATGGGATGGGCGTCAGAAAATATATTATCTCGAGCTCCTTCGTGCTTAGGAAGCCATATAAAGCCGTTCATCTTGCCTGCATAAAATCACAGTAGAATAACACTACCTTTTGGTGGTGTTGTGTTTCTGTCGGTGAGTTAGGTTACATTAGGTTAAGCAACGGTCCTAGTGTTATTTTTGATATCGCGGGTCATATGCTTGTTAACCACTCTTTAAATATATAGGAGTTTAATATTTTCTAGTTCATGCATGTATAATAGGGTTGATGACGACGGGTAAAGTAAATGAAATTCCATTAAGTCCGTCAGTAAGATTATCAAAAAGAATAAACACGTAATTTTAAACTAATATTTCTATTGTCAACGGATAAAAAAATAATAAAGATAAATGGCGCCAAAGTAAGGGAATGGAGGCTAGAATCGTCACTTCTTAGAAAAAAATATACCAAGACGTGACGTCATGCGCCATTTGAAATCAATATATCTCTGTTATGTTTTGATTATGTAAATAATGAAAAAATACGTGTTGAATAATTTTTGAATATTTACCTGATAGATGAAGAAAAAAAGCTATTCATCATCCCTACCAGGTTAGTATAGCGTGTTATGAAGAACTTTATTTAGACATGTTGGGCATTTTTGAGATGAGTTTATTTATTTTTGTTTACATTTTTCTTAGTTTTTTGAGATTTGAGTTTACACTTCTGTTGGCACTCCCGGAGTGGCACCGCCATTTTTTTATTCCACAATAACTTATATATCCCTGAACTCTTAAAACATAGTAACACTCCTTTTTTAGACTAGTGTTAAGAAGGATAATCGTCATACAACCTTCTATGGGGTCTATGACGCGATGAGTGGGTATCGGCAGGCGTCGCGCCCTGGTGAATGAGTGAGAAAATGAAGAAGCGGAGCTCTTGAGCCGCCCGTAGTCCTTGCCCTGGAACAATAGGAAAATTTTGTTAATAATTGTACGACGGTGGACGGAGAAAGGCTGATGGATGGATGGATAGAATTGTACGACACTACCGAAAGTGTCTCTAGCCCATGTAGCTCCCGTGTGCAGGCAGCGAGTTGCTTTCAGCGCCCCTGTGACCGCTGCGCCCGTGTGCAACGCACACCCTGCACCTCAAATAATTCCCCGCCCCCCACGACAACGGCTAACCAGAGCCGAGGTCCGAGTCTCAGAGACGCCTTCTAGCTGAGCCAACCCCCTCAGGTTCGAGTGGTCTAGAGGCTCCAGACGGAGAGGAGCCTCCCCCCGTGGGAAGATGCCATCTGCCTGGAATACCACTAGAGGCACCCGTCAATTCTCGGCTTGAGGTCCCTTATTCCATCTGCGACCAACAGCATACGCACTCAAAAAAAAACATTTTGAAGTTTCGTTTACAGGCATTCTTACGCAGTAGCAAGATTTGATTCTCGACTATTGACCTATGTTTTCAAAATAAATGGCGGTAAGTTTAGGCTTCCTTGACTTTAGTTCTACTTAATTTAGAACAAAATAATTTGATTGGGGTTAAATATTGACGACGAAGTTGTCTAGAATTTAATTATTGATAGGTATTTATTTATAATAATTGAATTGGTAAGCTACAGCCACAGACAAAGTAAGATGGAAGTCCTTGGGGGAGGAATTTACCCGTAAGGGGTCCATACAAAACAATAAAAAACTTATATATTTATTGTATCTTTATTCATACACTTACGAACATAGAGCAAACGGACAGTTGTAAACCTTTAGATATGTATTATTACCTTTAGATAGATTCTTACTTTGCCGTGTATTTACATTTTAGAGATTTGTAAATTTACTAGTAAACATCCAAATTATTTTAAAAAGCGAAATGATACATCATCACGGTACACATCACGACATGGACATAAAGTACTTATACTAACTACAAGACTTAAAATGAACTTATCTGGTCCACTTCTAATGGCTGTCAAAATTCGTAACAAATTACTTAAAACGTTAGTTGAAGAAAAGGTTGATAATATATAAAAGCTACTTTTAAGCAAATGTAATGCAAGTGTAATATTACATGGTTAAGGAATATTTAGAAGATAATTATTTAAAGTAGGTAATGATATTTACAATTACAATTTTACTATACCTGACATTTTATTTAATTTAATTTGTATATAAAAAAAATTAACATAACTTAACATAATATGCTATAGAATATGACATAGATAATAAATCAAATAATATAATATTGAGCTAAAATGATTGAATAATGTTGATATTAATATATTTTTATATAAAAAAATTATCGTATTTTAACTGATAAATTGTACACGTATTAACTAAATTTCAATTACTGAATGCGTCCTGTTCTCTATTTGCTGTGCCCTATTCAGGGTCTACAATGATCAAAGCAATGTACCTACTAAGATCTAAGCATTGTAGAATGCAATAAAGTATTGATTTATTGATGGTTAAACCAGACTCTGCCTTAAAGACCGCAAGGCGGGCACGCTCAGTGGCGCTTTCTGAGGATGCTAAAAGATCACTCTGAAGACGTCCCATTGCCTTTGTGAAAATCGGGAAGATGGTGAGATATTATATTAAGATTATTTTGTAAAATACCCGTTATGTCCACCACCCATCCACCTTTGGTTTTCAAGACGTGTTTCACACAGTCCAATTCCTATATGTTTCTAGTTAAGACAAGACAATTTCACAGGAGTCCGTAACAAAAATCGACGGACCCAAAGTGACAAATTGTTTGTTATGGATCAAACAAATGCAACGCCACCTGTATTAAGGTTTTTTCTGTTTGTTTACTAGCTCCCTTTGAACTTTTTACCTTTTTCCTACCTTTTATAAAATGGAGGACTTAAGGACAATTTTTATTAGTGGGAAAACCGGGAGAAAAAATTCCACAGCATTAAACAGAATAATGTCAACATTAACAAATAGCAGGTGTGTTGTTACACTGTCAGTCAATATAATGGATTTATTTCATACAGAAAAGCCTGTTAGAATAATTGGAACAGTTCAGACCCAAGCATTACAATAGGGGTAGGTACAAACAGTGAATTTATTATGGTAGCTTTAAATTTATTTAGGTTTGTCTCATGGATATTGCTTTTTTATGGTGCCTTTAAATTTACTTAGGGTTAACTATTGGCCGTCTTTTGGGACTTTATTGTAAAATCGAATACAAAGACTTTTATGCCTTGATCACACATACCGAGCAAACGAGCGAGACAGTGCTCTCGGCCGAGTACTCGGTGCATATAAACATAATACGCGTCTCGCCCGTTTATTGAGTACGTGTAATCAAGGCATTAAAGTCATACTGCTAGTAATATAACATTCCTATGTTGTACTGTACAGTGTTCTTGCCTCTGCAAGAACACTTAAAAACAAATATTCACACTACAATACAGAAAAGTGTCCATGAAAATATTAATTACGATGCCACTGCGCTCGCTGGTAAGTGAGTTTTGTTGTAATACCATTTTTATGGAAGTACGTGGTTTAATATCTGAGACGCGCCAATGTCACGTCTATTGTTGCATTAAAAGAATTCATTAAAAAATCTCTAGCACAACGGTATACTCACTTATTCGGTTTTAATACTAGTGGCCTGCCCTTGTTTCGGTTCGAGGTGGACTATAATTAGGGTTCCATACCTCAAAAGGAAAAATGGAACCATCATAGGATTACTTTGTGGTCCGTCTGTCCGTCCGTCTCACTGCCTGTGTCAATACCCTTTATCTCGAGAACGCGTGGAGGGATTGAGTTATTTGAAACTATATAAATCCAATTTCTAAGTTAACCTAAAAAAAGATGATTATGTTGCGTATTTCCATTTCCAATCTGTACGGAACCCTAATATTAGGGGAATATTGAAATGAAATGAAATGAAAATGAAATGAAAACAAATGAAATGAAAAGTCATTTATTCAGTCTAGGCTGTTACAAGCTCTTGTGAAGGTCAAGAAGCTACGCCATCGGTTCGCAAAACTACGGCGGGAGACCTTGTACTGAGAAGAACCGGCAAGAAACTCAGCAAGGGCTGCTTTTTTCTCCCTGTATTGATATATACAGAGTCGTCAGGTTGAAAAATGACTTCAGAGATACTTCTGAAGTCACCTTCCATTACATTATTTAGGATATGGATATATAGTTACAATAAATTTTATATTTAGTATATAGGAAGCGGCATTATATAGGTACCATATTACTGTTACAAAAACTGACTCATACCCATCAAATAACAAATTACAAGAAACACTATGTCCATGCATTTCGATTTTCATTATTGATTCATTATTGGGTAACTAAGTGATTGTGAAAACAGTTTGAAAATCTGTTTCTTTTTCTGAGATCATCGGGAAACAGAAGAAATCACTGCTTATTTATAAACGTAGATTAATGGTCTTGAGGCTGGTCAAACTTAAAAAAAATCAATTTCAACTGAAATTTATTCCATTAAACAATATAATTGTGTAGGAAATAATAAAACAAAATAAAAGCACACATTAATAAAATAATAAATTAATTTAGCAATAAAATTATTCTACATGTCATATTGGATTGATTGACAATTAATAAGTAAAAAGAAACGTTGCAAATTCACGAAAAAAATAATCATGTCATGTGTTAACGTAATCCCGTCTCATAAATTCGCCAAAACTGTAATAACATTTCTTCAAAAGGAGAGTCCAAGAAGTCCCTCGATTTGTTTTGAAAAGATTTGTAGTCAATAAAGGATTTCAAACTGGTTGGAAGCGTATTAAAAATTTCGACCGCCTGGTACCTATAGCCATGTTTAACAACATGAAGTTTAGGTTCAATTAGATTGGTAGATTCTTTCAACGTGTTTTCAAAGGCGATTCCCTGTCTATTGGCGTTTCAAAAGTTGCAGATTTTTTTGTTAAATAGCATAAAACTGTTAAAATATAAAGACAAGAGACGGTTAAAATTTTTAATTAAATATTATCTACATAGAAATATTCTTTACATGATTCCCATTGTGAAATACGGACTACAGTTCCGATAGCTCTTTTTTGTAACAAAAAAAGCGCTCTGTATATTAAATTTATATGATTTTCCCCAAAACCTAATACCGTACCTAGTACCATTCCATCTATGAGCGCAACCGTGAAACTAAATTAGTGCTTATTATTTCCTTACATCACAGTTTGATCTGTAATTTTTCTGTGCTATCTTTTATAAACCAATTGTGATAAACTTTTCTTATTTAAGCTGTGTCTTTGTTGTCGTGTTGTGTTTCTAAACTTACTTAGAGTAGTACATACAGAGTAGGTACATACAAGTTCTTTTAATTGAATTTGAAAAAATGGATTTATATCCCAGGGGATATCCAATGTATTTTTTTTATCTGAGGCATATTACAGATGCGGGGACCAATCCGACAACAACTTTCAAAAGCAAACAGTCGTGTGGAGCGGAACTGTTAGTTTAGGTTTACAATTCTACGGATTCACACAAATTTCTCTTATCATAACCTTCAGAGTGGAATTGAAGGCGAATCGTAGTTTCAATGACAGCGTGCGGTTAAGTAACTCGTTAAAGTCACGCTCTAATATTTCCCTATTAAATAATCCTAGGAGCTAGTAACTTAACGGCCCTGCGCTCGGTGATAAGTTGCGACCACAGACGCGATTTTACTTGAATTATTTAACTAGTTTAAGTAGTTTTACCTTGTAATATTATAATAACTTACTAACCTAAGTAAGTAATTCTAATCCTATTGTTTTCGTAAAAAGTTTGATTATTTAATAAAACTTTTTTCGAAGGCTCGATGTGGAGCCGTTGTTTCAGAGTTCGTTCTGCGATTGGGTAAGTTACGCAATATGTCAACCATCGGATGGGCGACAGAAAATTTATTATCTCGAACTCCTTCGTGCTTCGGAAGCCATATGAAGCCGTTCATCCAGCCTACATAAGATCACAGTAAA